TCGTCATCATCATCATCGTCATCATCATGATCGTCATCATCGTCATCATCATAGCCATCGTCGTGCATCCTCTGCATCACCAACAGTCATGATGATAGCCATGTCTACGCACCCTCTGCATCTCCAACCAGGTCACAACGATGATGATGTGATGATGATGAGCGTGTCATCATCACCATGATGGTGGTCATTATCGTCATCATCATCACCAATATCGTCATCATCATCGTCGTCATCATCGTCATCATCATCCTCATCATCATCGTCATCATCATGGATGATAACCATCATCGTGCATCCTCTGCATCACCAGCAGTCATGATGTTACTCATGTCTACGCATCCTCTACATCTCCAATCAGATCACAACGATGATGATGTGATGATGATGAGCATGCCATCATCACCATGATGGTGGTCATTATCGTCATCATCATCATCGTCGTCATCACATCGTCATCATCACCGTTGTCATCATGGACGATAACCATCATCGTGCATCTTCTGCATCACCAACAGTCATGATGATAATCATGACTACGCACCCTCTGCATCTCCAATCGGCTCTAACGCTACCCTTGAAACGTATATAAAAAAGATAAGGACGACAACGGTGATGTTTGATATAATGACAAGCGTGTCATCATCATCATCGGCATCATCATCAGCATCATCCTCGTCATCGTCATCGTCATCATCACCGTTACCATCATCGATGATAACCATCATCATGCATCCTCTGCATCACCAACAGTCATGATGATAATCATGTCTACGCACCCTCTGCATCTCCAACCAGGTCACAACGAAGATGATGTGATGACGATGAGCATGTCATCATCACCATGACGGTGGTCATCATCGTCATCATCATCATCGTCATCATCATCAGCGTCATCCTCGACGCCAGCCAGCAAAGAGCGTAATGGCTAGTCCAGAACAGACTGCGAATGCAAGTCCCTCCTCGCGGGCATGATGTCTGGCTCTAACAGGACACTTGAAACGCACACGAAAAAGACACGGATGACGACAATAATGATTATGATGACGAAAAAGACACGTCTTTGAGGTGCAAAGGATGCTACGATGACGGTATTGCTTACGCTGATAATGTTGAATCTCCGGCTATGCTCATTTACCAAGCAGCCTTGGACTTGTGCTGTAACCACCCTTCCCGTGCGCCTCCCCCTTTGAGGAGAAGGGGTCGGCGGATATGAAGCCTCGTATTGCTAGTATGCAGGCAGGGGTATGGTTTGCAGTGAATCGGGGAATCACTGGGTACCAAAAAGGTGCTACGCCAGCTCTTGAGGGGTGACTGGCTTCAGGAACTCGTGCTGGTGGCGGTTCGCGAATGCGGGACCGCGCTGCGCTTCGTGCCGCAGCCCCTGCGGCGAGATCGGGAGGCGCGGTTGCTTCCCATTTCTGAGGGTTATGTTTAACGAAGCAACCACCCATTCCAGGTTGGAAACAATCCCATGTGGTGGATCCTGTGCTCTGTGGAGGGTTGCCAAAGGTTTCTACTTCCCGTTTCAGTGTCGCCTTTTCATGGCGGTCATTTTTGGGGTCGCCACTTCGCCAACGTCATGCCTTTGCTTCCCTCGCAGGTGGTCCTTGCAGCGGTGCGATGTGATGGCGAGGCCCTGGTCCATGCCTTGCCCGAGCTGCAGGCGCGAGCTCTTACGCGTTGGCGGGCTTTAAAGTCATGTGTCATAGATGTCTAATATGTGGGGCAGGGTCCGGGAAGGGCCCCCGCATTTTGGACGACTCTACATGTAAATGCGCGGGCCATGGAAATGATGGTGCAACCGCGCACAAAAGAGGCGATTGTGAACACCGAGTCGGTTCACATAAGGGTCAAGATGCTTGCATTGGTTGCCCTTTCGTGTGCCTTTGGACCCTTTGGAACTTGACGATTTCTTACTAACCAAGATCAAGCATATTATTTCGCAGGGGCCCGAGGCTCGTACTCTTTTCGGGTTGTTTTACAGGGACATCCAAGGGCAACCTCCCGTTTTTGTGCGCTCCCCATTCAGAAGCAGATCCATTGGAGCGAGCAACGGCGTGAACTCCGGAGGCTGACCCAGAGGTGGCAGGCGCAGCTGTGGCGCAGGTGCCTGAGGCGGGAGCAGTTCATGCTGACGGATTGGGGGGTGGACACGGGCCGATTCTGACGAGCTGGAGGTAAAGGTTAAAGATGAACAATCAAAGGGATGCCCGCCCCCGCCCATTTTGAGGGTTCCACTGTATTTGGAGTTGGTCAAGTATGCCATGTGGGCACCAACAAATCCGCGCCGCGAGTTGGCCATTTTCGTTCGTTCAGTTCCACTCCCCGGTTATGGCTCACGCCGCGTGGCGCCAGGCTATGCGACATGCCTCGCCGTTGCTGAAGCAGGAGATCCATGGCTGCCCTCGGAGCCTCACAGAAAGGGTCTCCCGAATTTGACCTAACTCGCGGGTTTTCTGGCCTATGGCTTAGAGTCAAGGGGGAAGCAAGTTGCCAGGACAAAGCCTTCGTTTTCGAAGCCACCCAGAGGCCGGCCAGGAGACTCTGTTGAAGTGCAACGTTGAAGTGCAACGGTTCGCACCCACGTGTCCAGAGGCAAGAGTACAGGCCGTTGTTGACTACCTCACAAACATCAAAAGCAACGGTCCACGTTCCCTTCCTGAAACTTTTGAGCCTCAGTATCTAAACAGACCTGAGTATCCAGAATCCCGTGACGGTCACGGCAAAACGCGATTGACTGATAGATCTGGGAGGCATGCACAGGCCTTCATCCACGTGCATCAGCGATTGCGGCAGGATAAGGCGTGGTTTTGACACATGCATATTAGCAGGGGACAGTCCCAACCAGAAGCAGACGATGCATGACGTTGGGCAGACCCTTTTCATACCAGGTTTCGATGGTGACTCATTGTCAATGCTTTAGACACCAATCGTCGGGGTTTGCATTCTGCTGCCTTGTGCAGCGAAGCACTGGCAGCAGGCCTTCGTGATCTCCCTTGTTCGAGCCAGAGCCCCAGGGTGTCGCTGGAAGACCCTCCCACAAGCGGCTGGTTTCCTGTTTGGGTTTCCCTTTGAAGCCATGCAAAAGTGGTTCCCCAATTACTGATCAACTTGCAAGTGCAGCACTTTGCAGGTGCCAACAAACAAAAACACACTCGCAGAATCTGCCACCTGTGTCGAACATGTACACAGCTCAGATTTCCGCGACTTGCAGTTGCATCGTGGTGGCGTTTGTCAGGTTAATGGTGATTTGCTGAGCTTTCTCCCTCAGGCGACAACTTTGGGCAGCCAGTCTCTCACTCATGGGGCAAAGTATGACAGTATGTTTGGTGAATGACGGCACTGACGCTTGATGATCTGAGTGCGTCCATTGGGTTTGGCTTTGCATGAGTCTTTCGGCCGAAGCGCTGTGGCCAGGTTCTGCGCACCGACAAGGATGTATGCATGGCGGCGGATTCCGGCATGGTTGCCTGGTTGATTGTTGCAGTGGATGCCCTAGTAATGACATGGCTTTGCCCAAAGCTAATTTTGTGGTGATAAGTGTCCACTCGCCATGCACAACAGTGATGTCCGCCTTGCAAGCATTCGCACAGATGCAGTGACCGACAAAGAAAAGAAGGCATACGACTCATGTGAGTCAGAGACAATGTTGTTGATTGTCTTCTGTGGGTTTGAGGCTTCTGAGCACCCTGGACCATGCATTATAGCAGCCATGGCAGGCCAAAGCCTACTGGGCTGGAAACGGCGATGCCCCTCCGCGCAATGATGGTCTCCTGCGCAAGGTAGCAGCCTCAGGCAGAGAATTGGGGAGTCAACTAGTTGGCAAGGGATTCCTGCCGGCCAAAGATGAGCATCAATTTGGGTGTCTTTATAGTTTGGCTTCCCCCGAACGAAGTACGCATGCTCGCCGCTTTGTTCACAACAATCTGGTGACAGTGTGCGCATCAGACCACCTGTCCGAATTGCAGCTGCAAACGTCAAGCAGCCTTCCATTTTGGAAACAGCTGCCCAACTTAAGGTGCACATGAACTAGCTGCCACCAGCCTGGGAAGTTGGAGCATTCAAATCGACCCAATGCCAAGAGAAGTTTACCTCCGATGCTCAACCTGCAGGCACCAGAACGGCCATGGTGTGTCGTCCCATGATATCTAGAATGACGTGGTTTCAGCTACAGGGTTTGCCGTTCAACATGTTTTGGCAGGGGCATAGGGAGGGCTTCCAAGCACCATCCACTCTGATGCAATGAAGCATATGACTCAAAATGTCAGCTGCACGCTTCACAATGCCGAGGGTATGCTGTGGGAGCCTAGCGAGCGCGCCAAGCTCGCTGCGCAGATGGTTCGAGGCGCAGATGCTTGGCATGGGTTTGTCTAAATCGGAGAATGCCGCAAGCTGGGTGATTTGCAGAGGGGGGTCTTGGCCGTGAATGCTAATTACTCTGTATCGCTGGGGTTTCCTTTCAAATCAACCCTTCTGAAAGGCACCCTCAAAAACGAGACACCCAGCTCAGCAGACCTCCGCTGGGCCCCACCGCAGGCAAACCCACATGAGGGTGGCAAGCACGGCCGTCGAAAAAGTCGCATGATTGCTGGGTGCGGCAGCAAATTGTCTCCGTCACCATGCTACACCACACCATGATGACGTTGAAGCGTACTTTCTCAAGAAACAGAGAAAGCGAGAGAGAGAGAGAGGGATGGACAGAGCGAGAGAGACAGAGAGAGAGAGAGGAGGACTTGTTCGACAAGGTCGAAAAATTGACCCTGGCGGCAGGAAGAATGAATATCTCAATGTGAGGACACACACACACAGACACATCAACCTGCCTCCAAGATATCTTCATTCAACATGTCATTGTTCTACAGATGCTTGATTTCGGTTATCTTCGCTCTTTTTGTAGATATCAGCAAATATATCTTGTTATTTTGCTTCTTGGAAGCATTGTGCTGAAGCTAAGATAAGCAGAAGGACTTCGCCTTGCTGCGAGTGTCGTCCTCGCAATGCGGCGGCTGTGGCCACGCGTCCGATGTTCGGGAAGTTGCGGGGGCTGCGTGCGGGGGGCTGGGTCGGTGTCCGTGGGCGGTGTTCTGGTGCCGCTGCGGCATCGCCTGGAGGAGGCGAGCCAAATTCAAGGCACAGGTAGATGAAGTGTAGAAGACAATCCCGACTATGAATAGGTGCGACTGCCCTTTCATTGCTTTGCCTAGTTTTGAGTAGACCACTTTATTCGGATCAGGTTTTGATCAGGACTCGGGTGACGACGTTGACCCCAGACTCAAGGGGCTATGAATGCCAATGCAGACACCCTCCAAAACGGCTGGTTGACCCCCCAAAAAAAACCGTGTGCTTCTATGAGTTGTACGGAGGGTGCGACGATCCAGCTTCCTTGCCACCTGGCCAGAGTCAAAATGGTCAACCCTCCAAAAGATCCAGAAGGCAGTCGGTAGCTGTCGCTCATGATGTTAAGTTTCCCAGAGTGATCTTCTTTTAAGTCCAGTTTTGCCAACTTGACTATTTGATCCTAAATCCAAAATCAGCTGGAGGGATAGACGGTGGTAAATGAGTCGAGCCAAGCTGAAGCCAGAGAAATCCATCGATTTTCATCCACGCACGCCAGCAGCTCTGGTTGGAGGTCGAGAAGGCAGGGTCCACTTAGCGAGCCCTCGAGGAGCCCAGCCGCGTGCCTCGCGGCTACTTGCAACGACTGCCGCGGGCCTTACGGCCAGCGCTCAAGTGGCTGGCGCAGAAGGCGGGAGTCGGCAACGGAGCCAATGCATTTGGGTTCCCTGCAACGCGGGCGTAACTTCTGAGAGGCTTTCCACGACCACCAACACCTATGCCTAGGGAAGAATGCATTGATGCTCGTTCCTTCAGATGAGCAGATGCTGCCAGTCTTTTTTTTCCAACAGCTGAAAGCTTTGGGGTCTCAGCCCAGATAGGCTCCGGGGTGGTCCGCGGTGGCCCTGAGGTAAGGATCCACGAGGGTTCCACCACCAGGGTTCCACCAGGGTTCCACCCGGGTTCCACCAGGGTTCCACCAGGGTTCCACCCGGGTTCCACCAGGGTTCCACCAGGGTTCCACCCGGGTTCCACCAGGGTTCCACCAGGGTTCCACCCGGGTTCCACCAGGGTTCCACCAGGGTTCCACCCGGGTTCCACCAGGGTTCCACCAGGGATTCCACCAGGGTTCAGGGTTCCACCCGGGTTCCACCAGGGTTTCACCAGGGTTCCACCCGGGGGTTCCACCAGGGTTCCACCAGGGTTCCACCCGGGTTCCACCAGGTTGCACCAGGGTTCCACCCGGGTTCCACGAGGGTTCCACCAGGGTTCCACCCGAGTTCCACCAGGCTTCCACCCGGACCAGGGGTTCCACCCGACACGGGTTCCACCCGGGTTCCACCAGGGTTTCGCCAGAGTTCCACCCAGGTTCCAGGCTTCCACCCGGGTTCCAGCAGGGTTCCACCACAGTTCCACCAGGCTTCCACCAGCGTTCCACCAGCGTTCCACCAGGCTCTACGAGGGTTGCGTTTAGGGTCCACCAGCGTCCACCAGCGTTCCACCAGGGTTCGACCAGGGTGTTACCTGGTTCTGCGAGGTGAGGTTCCATGAGGGTTGCCGGGGTTCCACCAGGCTACCAGATTTCCACGAGGTTCTGTGAGGGCTGGTGGTCCGGGGTGGTTTGAGGAAAGGTTCCATGAAGGTTCCGCCACAGTTCCACCAGGGTTCCACGAGGTTCTGCAAGGGCTGCGGATGGTCCGGGCCCCCGTAAGGTTCCACAAAGTTTCACAGAGTTTCACAAGGATTCCACAAGGGTTCCACAAGGCTCGGCTCCTGGGAAGCAATGCGTCGTGGTTTGAAAAGCCATCGGAGCAGTAAATTGAGGGCTCAGAAGATTGCTTTGCTCATGGGCGGAACACTGAGCAAAACAGAAATCAATGGTCGTTTTCAGCACAGTTTGACTTGCTCACTTGCTCAGACAACGCGGCCCGAAATGTTGGCTTTGTGGCAAATCAGATGACGTTGCTGCGGGACTCACTGTGCAGCAGGGTAAAAGCTTGGCATTACTGAGTATTACTTGGCGGGCTTTGGGCTCCAAGGGTTCCACGAGGCCTGCGAGGGCTATGGGGGAAGGTTCCAAAAACGCTCCATGAGGTTTCCACCAGGTTCTGCTATGGGGCAGCCCTGGGGAAGCAAGGTTCGCCGGGCCGAAGTCAGGGCCCGATTGCACCGTCGGGGCCTGATTGTGCTGTTCGGGTCTGGCGCCGTCGGCCCCGACTCGCTCGGAAACCGGCGTTGAGCTATAATATGGGGCCCGATTGCGCCGTCGGGCAGTTGCGCCGTCGGGCAGTTGCGCCGTCGGGCCCCGATCAGGGCGCGCTGTCTAGCTTCGCTTTATAAAGTTGCAAGGCGGCATCCTCAGCAAAAACCGGCGGTGAGGTGGGCTCCGGGGCGGGTTCCGGGAGGATTCTGGGAGGGTGTGGTGCTGTTGGGGATATCGCCTGAGCATATTTTTATATATAAATCTTTCTCTCTTTCTCTTTTTCTTTCTCTTTCTTTCGCGCTCTCGCTCTCTCAGCAAACGTGGCAGGACGCTTTGGGCCAGGATGCCTTGCTTCTTTCATCTCCAGCAGAACGTGCTCGGGCACGTATGCTGGCTTTGGCTTATGCTGAGTTGGTCAGAGACCTAGATGTATTCGGGCATACCAGGTCGGTCAATTGCTGCATTTCTCCCTAGATCATTCATGGCCAGTGATGAGCTATGCGCTGTTTCCAACAGTGGCTTTCAACTGCAGCAGGGACCCTATCTAAACATATGTTTTCGGCAGCCCTTTGATATTTTTTCGGTTCTACACAAACCGACAGCAGACTGCATTGAGTTGTCTCAGGTGAATTCATCCTTCGAATATGTGGGAATATCTGCAGACACTACAGAGGCTGACTTGAAACAGCTGCAGACTCAGATGGGCCGCCTTTGAGTGTGGCATTGAAGCTACAATCCGCAGCTAGGTAGCTTACCACATGTAGGGGCTGTCATCCGCTTCTGAATGCAACAAAGAAAGCAGGAGCGGGGAGGTCCCTCGTTGAATCCATTGCGGCACCCGATGAAGTCACGCAGCATGTCCAGCACAGGCGACGGGAGATAGCTGCCAACAGCAGCGTGGCCTTTTCGGACTCACCTCCAGTACGCGCTGCCCTGCAAGGCGCCTGTCTTGTCCTGGTGGCTGGGCAAGAGCCGGGTTTGTCTCAACTTGTGGGACGCCACACCATGACTTTTCTGTGATGAGGCCTGGTTTTGGCGAGTTTAGAGCTTCCGCGCACCGCAAGGATGGCTTGGAGAGGGCTGAGCGGAATGTCCTTCCGACACTCAACAACTTGTGGGAACCTTACACAAGCACAAAGTGTTTGCAGTCGTGCCATGGCTTGCTGTGTTCTTTGCCATGCAAGATGTATTGATTTGTCACCTCTCGCGCTTGAGGCTAGAGAACCGGGAGATGTCTTTGGAGGATGGCCGTTTTCTGGTTGACTCCCAGCGCTACGATGCCTTACAGCCTGCGCTAGACACAAGGACGCTTGGCAGCGCGCAGCACAGCCTCACATCGTGAACTGCTGAACCCGGGTTCTCCTCCGAAACAATATAATCCCAGACGTTTTCCAATGAAGCACTGCGTTTAAGACATGTTGGGGTAAACGGGTAAACAAAAACTGGAGCCCTGGCTGAGCAATCCATACTGCACACTTGACGACGGTCCCTACCAAACTCAGGCGGCAGATCGCAGTCGAAGAACGACAGGGCCAACATCAGGTCTAAGAGACACCCACCAGCCTGAGTGCAGGGTGCCCTTGTTTGAACCCTCGGAGCCGAAGATAAGTTCATTCGCCCTTTGCCTTGTCCATCTCAGAAACCAGAAACGAGAAACTCTGGAGCCCCTTTCCCATCATGGCAAGAAACGGGTCAAACTATGTTTCCCGAAACAAACGAACAAACGAACAAGCAAGCAAGCAAGCAAGCAAGCAAGCAAGCAAGCAAGCAAGCAAGCAAGCAAGCAAGCAAGCAAGCAAGCAAGCAAGCAAGCAAGCAAGCAAGCAAGCAAGCAAGCAAGCAAGCAAGCAAGCAAGCAAGCAAGCAAGCAAGCAAGCAAGCAAGCAAGCAAGCAAGCAAGCAAAGCAAGCAAGCAAGCAAGCAAGCAAGCAAGCAAGCAAGCAAGCAAGCAAGCAAGCAAGCAAGCAAGCAAGCAAGCAAGCAAGCAAGCAAGCAACCACAAACAGAAAGACAGACTTTTGCGGCTGTGGCTCAAAAGGAAGTCATTGCTTGTTGTGAGGGTACCCGTTTCAGCTTGGTTACAAAGGGAAACCAAACAGGAGAGCTTCAGATTCGGTTTAGCCACGGCAAGCCCAGCGCAATCGCATACCATGGAACCCGACATTGAGACAAACATGAAAATGCTTCAATTTGTCAGATACGAAAATGCGGAAAACTGCCAAACGCCGGGAGGAGCGCTTTGACGCCGGTGCACCGCCACTTCCGCGTGCTGGCGCTGGCCTCCCCGTGCCCGCCCTTCGAGGGCCGGGCCCTGGACCCGCCGCTGCGCTCGCGGTTCCAGGCGCGCCTCGGCCTGTCGGTTGGCCCGGGCGTGAGTCGCCCAGTCGCCCAGGCGTAAACGTTTCGCACCTCCAAGATTGACGAAAACCTTTTCATGAAGTTCAGGGAAATATAACTGTTTCTGGGCTGATGTCTACCCAGACCCAGGCTAGTCGAACAATGGTTGGTTGTTTCCCTTTTAACTTTGTTGGTGTGTACAAAACTAATTTGTTACCCCCTAAAGCTGCAGTAAAGCGGAAGTGTTTAATTGGATCTTCCAAGAGGCAGGTCGTCCTTCAACTGGCGACGATTCGGTGGGCCTTGTGTTTGAGCATGTTGAGACATGCTGTAACATGAGGAATAGACCACGTGACTTTCAAGTGGTAGTTCAGTGGGGAGTTCAGACTGGCCCCAATGTCCCAAAAAAGAGATATTGTCCGTGCCTCACGAGATCAGGCTCCCTGTACCCTTTGCAGCTGCACTCACGTATTTTCCAGTTTTCAACATTTTCACATGAGAGACCACGCCCACATGTAAGGAGCCCATTTGAAGCGTTTCGCCGACCCAGGCTCTTGGTGCCACCAGCGCCAGCAGAGGAGTTGGCATTTGCACTGCAGGGCCTAGAGGAGGCTGTGGCGCGACCTTTGCTGGGAGCCGCCGAGACCATTTTGGCGCCTCTGCGCGAATCATATCAAGTACGGGGACGGCAGAAGTAGTAACTATGATAGATGATGTTGGAATGCATCCCGAAAGTTTTTTGACCATTCTACCCGCCAAATATTTTTCGTGCTGCGTCCACAACTTATATGGCTAGGTCATTCCGCTACCTGTTTGAATGGGAAACCACAGGTGTAGGGTTCCGCTACTTTGAGACAAACCCGGTAGAGCTGCTAAGGAGCTGGAGAGGCAGTCCATCCGGCAGAATGTGCAATTCTTCTCGTTTTCTAGCACCGCACTCGCAAGACGCTGCTCGCGACCGGGGGGTGACGTCAACCAAATCTTGCGCCTGGGCTGAGTAGTGCTCTGCCCCGAGCAGTTGGACGCCTCATAGCTTTGGTCAGAATATCCAGTCTCTGGTCAATTTGAGAAGGATATCACCTCCCCACACGAACCCAGGGGCTCCTTTCTCCCTTGTCCTTCAGGGAAAATGCACTATTTGGCCCCGAGGAGAAGTGTTTATCCTCCGCTCTACGGATCTGACCACCCGGATGTACCAGAAGCACCGCCATCCGTTGAGCAGGCCTCTTGTGCCCGCCATCCGTTGATGGCCTGGACTTGAGTAGAACAGTGGCCGCCTGCGAGGCGCTACGGAAGTTGCGCATCTCTGGGGAAGGACTTGGGCCTTGTGCCATGCGCATACTCCGCACATCGCAGTGGAAATTCAAAAGGGATGCCAACAGGAGATTCGTGAAACCATGGTTGGGGTCCATGCTGGAGAGTATACGGTGCATGTCACGTGCTTTGCAGAGGTCTGCAGATAAGAGAGATGGCAGGACCGGGTGGACTGGAAGATGGAACTGGAGAGCTGATTGGTTCCCATTACCGAACTGCTGAGATCGACGCCATTACGCGCGCAGTGGAGGCTCGCAGACACGTGCACGCAAAGAGCGTCTTCATTGCACTTGCAGGTTGAATGCATTTTTCCATTGTTTTCATTTGCAGAGCATGTGATGATTGCATTGGCAGTCACAGGCAGACCTGACCCACGGCAACGTCCTGTTGCTGGGATCGCGGGGCAGCGGCAAAAGCGCCATTGCTCGCGCACTGGGCCACGGCCACTGGTTTGCTGGCTGCATTCAGTGGGCCCCTTCGAAGATTTCGTCTTGTGAAGAGCATCCACATGCTGTTTTTCTTTTTCAAAAAGAGTCGATCCAAATGCACCGTTTTCTTTTCTTTTCTTGTGCACCGCTATTTAGCGAGCTCCCCTGCCTGCGGGCTCGTGGCTCAGGCCGACCTTTGCGCTGCACCGGGACTTGACCGGGCGCGACTTGCTTCAGCGCCGGGTCACAGATCAAGAAACCGGCCGGGCGTTGTCAAAGACGGCCTCCTTTTCAACCCCCAGTGATATCTTGTGCCACCTTCAAAGGAGATACTCAAAGGGTCTTTTGATTCTCAACCTGGGTGGGGCATTTCTTGGTGCCTTTTCAATGCGTACTGGTCCCGTACTTGTACGTTTGGTGCCGTTGATTAGGATTAATTGATCAGGTCTTTTGAATCATCGACAAATACTACCACCTCCCACCAGCAGAGCTCTTGTGGGAGGGTGGAAGATCAATGTAGACAGGGGCCAGGCAAGTGGGAGGCGGCAGACACTGACGCATTTGGGATCAGTTTCTCAGTTGGGGTGGGGTTTGCTCAAAAAGGAATATCCTTCCATGGAGCACCTTGCCAAAACGCAAACTGACCGTAATGTCTGCCTCTCGTAAGGTTTGGGTTGGGACTATCCCGGATAACCCGTAAGGGAGGTTTCTAACATATTTCTTCTGGTTTTCGCTCTGACCTGTCCAACATTTTGGGGACCTTTGCTTACATGAGACTGTTTTGGGGATCCGGAATACCGAAGCTTCAGTTGGTCCAGGCGCCTCGTCGTGGGCGGACCAGCCGGTGGCCTCCGCCGCGCGGGAGGGGCAGGTGGCGGTGCTGGACGGAGCGCATCGCCTGCCGCAGGGCGCTCTGGTGGCCGCCCTTGGACGGCTGGTGGAGAGGGAGTTGGACCTGCCGGATGGCACGCGCTTGCTGGAGACTGTGGGAAAGGACTGGGCCACTGGGCGAAGGGGCGCTGGTTTTGTCCTCTTTTGAGTATTCACAGGAGCTGGCTGGATCAATTTGAAGGGGAACCGGTCATTCTATCGGTCCAGTTTTCTGGATGGAAATCAAACTATGTTTTGACCAGGCCTTCCTCACCCAAACCAGGGATTGATTTTGATGGTCGAAGCCATGGCCTCTGCAGGAGGGCGAGGGCGTCGCGCGCCTGTCACCAAACTTTCGGCTCTTGGCCTTGGCGGAGCCTGGGGACTGGCTGTCACCTGAGCTCGCCTCGCTCTTCACCACACACGTACTTCCCGACATGACACCGCTGGAAATGAGCTTCGCGTTGCCGACGCTGGTGCCGGCGGCCAGCCCAGAGCTTTGCCAGCAAATCTCCTCCGTTGCCACTGCTGCGCTCCTTACCCAGAACGACAAGTCCTTTTCCCCTGGCGAACGAGCAGCTCTAAGGCTGTCGCTGCGCGTGCTCCTTCGCCTTACACGTCAAGCAGCGTCTGCCGCAGCTGACACAGAAAGGCTTCGCGTTCTCCTGCATGAGGCCTTGATGTCCAGATACTTACCCCTGCGCCTGCAAGAAACCGTCGATGGCTGGCTGGAGATAGCTCTCGGCAGGCGAAGGCGGACGAAAGATTCTCAGACTTGGTAATGGCAGGCGCACGTTGGTCACCCCAGTTGCTCCGGACCGCTTTGGGCCAACTTGCTTCTGTCGCGGTCGTCTGTGGTTGTCGTGTTCCACTAAGGACAGGGTGGAGCTCTCTGCACCGAGTGTCGCAGTAGATGGGGGCACCGTGGTGAGCGGCGCCTTGAGGATCACCGTACGGAGGCCCTCGAGACCCGAGCTGGTCCCTTCTCCGCGGCACTTCTTCGCTTCTCCGGCAGCGGTGACCCTTGGCGACTCCAGTGCCGTTTTCGGCCAACACCCCTTTCAAGTTCGAAAAAGGCCATATCCTGGCAACAGGGATTTAGCGAGTGGCCACCGAGTCTTCCTTGGAGCGACAAGATGTGCCTGGTTCCACACCGCTCAGAAGCCTGATAAAGCCCTTGACGTTTCACTGCTCCCTTGCTGCGCTTGTACATTAAGGAAGGCGCTGCACGCGATTCTGCTGTGCAGCTTTGCTCATTTTACCAACCAATACCACGTGTGGCACAGTGTTGATTGATCACCTGAGGCGAGCATGCTGGCGAACACGCTGTTCTCCTCCTAGGCAATCAAGGACATGGGATCCGGCAACCTCTTGGAGCGGTTCTTCGCAGCAACGCTTCTCACCCTCAACTGGTTGATCCCCTTGTGTTCCCATTTTCCCAATACTCAACAGTTGCGAAGTTGCTGTTTATGTCAGGGAAGTTGACCGAGCTCATTGTCAGGAGTTGGCAAGAACGTCGCTGTGGACCGCGTGCTTGAGCTGCTCAGGGCTGAGAGGGAGTATGTGCAGCTCCACCGGGATACTACAGCGCCTGGGCTTCAACACCTCCAGCAGGGTTGAGCAACAGACTCTTGCCTCGTGCAAAGGGGAACCCAGCTGTTTCAGCATTACGTTTGAAGCAAGGAGTTGGCCCAGACTCCCCTCCCGGCCCAGACTTCCCTCACTTTCCCAACAGTGAGGAGTGAAGGTCAGATCTTTCAACTCAGAGCTGAAGTTGTATGCTTGAACAGATGGGGGCAAAGCACTGCGCCGCCACCAAACTCGGTGCGCAGCTGAGGTTAGTTCCCTGACGGTTCGGCCAGTGCTGGAGAACGGGCGGTTGAATTACGAGGATGCCCCGCTTGTTCGGGCCGCCAAGTACGGCAGGGTATGCGCTTCCTGGATGCATTGGTGAGGGCAGATCTTGCAATGAGTGTAGGAACAACCAATGGGATGTTCCCAAAGTTTAGAAATGTTTGCTGCTGTTCGCAATGCTTGTACTGGACTCACGTGAGGTCCTGGATGAGGCTGACAAAGCACCCACAGAGGTTGTGGTCATTCTCAAAGCGCTGGTGGAGGAAGCATCGCTTGTTCTTGGTGTGTAGAACTCTCAGGGTTGGTTAGAGGGACGCCAAAAGACACTCGTTTTGGGGTGTCGCACATTAAAGGCGGCGCAACATACATATGCTAATATGGGTTTGTTTGAAAGCATGGGATTCCCGAACATGTTTTTTTTTTTTTGCGCTTTGGTTTCCTGTTCAGGAGCGGAAGGCAAGGAAATACCCTACCCAACGTGAACTTTAATGGACCTTATGGCTGCTCGCGCTTGCCAGGATGGTGAGCTGCTGCTGGGAGATGGCCGGCGCTTATGCCGCAGCAAGCCCCTCAGGATGGGACCAACTCATTACCCTCCTAGTACAGATTTCTACATTTCTTATGTTGTCCAATCCAAAGCTTGTGCGTTTTTGGAGGCCATCCTTTGTGGTTGGGCAACTTCCATGGGAAGGGGGTAGCAGATAACAGACCCCATATAAGCAGCGCCCCCCCATTGGCCACTTTAGTCCTGTAGTTTGATGGTTTGACGCAGATTGCAGTCATGCCTGCACGTACCTTTACCATCTTGGTAGAACCAGAAGTCAAGGGATGTTTGGGCTGCTCACACGTCGGCCGGATGGCATCTTCATCGTTGCTGTGTTTTTGAGCAGCCAAGGCGCCAAAACCCCCAGCGACATCCTGATCCATCCAGACTTCCGGCTGTGGGCCGTGAGCTCGGGGGCGAGCGTCCGCAGATTGTATCGTGATACCTGGCGGCGGAGGTCCTGGCCAATCGGCCTGGCTTCCCATTCCATGGCAACGCCTTCTTTCGCGAATGCGGAGATGCGTTTGCGGCGATTGCCTTGGACAATCCAGAGCCGCGGCGGCACAGATGTGCTGAGCGAGCGGGAAGCCTTTGCGGGCCTCTTGTTTTGGTCTGTATTGCCAGGATGTGGCGTCTGAGACGGCTCTCCTGCACCATGTGGCGCCCACCTACCCAAAGCGCAACGCTCTTGACAAGCTTGCACTGGCCTTTGGTGAGCTCAGGACACTGTATGTTGGCTCTTGGGCCTGATTGACGTTTTCCCCGATTGCACTCATTGTTAGCGAACTGGACCCCTTCGAAGGGGTGGTCTCAACATTTGGGCACCCAATTCCTTTTCGAACGACCATTTGTCTCGACAAAAACAACAACTGGTCAGGACGCTGGCGGAAAACGCGGTCATCTCCTACCCCTACTCCATGCGCGAGGCCGTGGCAGTTGCCCGGCACCTGGAGAAGTACCAGCAGGCGGACGTGCGGAATGGAATCTCAAAAGCGAACGGAGTTAACAACCATTTTTTCGTGTCTTCTGGCATTCCCAAAAGATAGACGGTTTAGATGATGATGACATCTACCGGGCCAACGTAACACCTGTCATACCAGTAGAAAGTTGGTTGGCGCAAGTTTCAAAATTACAAGTACCATAGTGACTATAGTTATCTTTCTGCTTGTACTTGTTTTCTCTTTCCTTCCTTTTCTCTTTTTCTTGTTCTGTTTCCCTTTCTCTTTCTCTTTGTCTTTCGCTTTCTCGTCTCTTCCTTTTTCCTTTGTCTTCTTTCTCTTTCTCTTTCGCGTTCTCTTTCTTGTTCTATCTCTCTTTTTTTTATTTGTCTATCTATCTAGCTATCCATCTAGCTAGCTATCGATCTATCTACCTATCTATCTCTATCTCTGCATCTATCTATCTGTCTGTCTGTCTGGTCTGTCTTTCTGTCTGGTCTGTCTCTCTGTCTGGTCTGTCTGTCTGTCTGTCTATCTGTCTATCTGTCTATCTGCCTATCTGTCTATCTGTTTATCTGTCTATCTGTCTCTATTTATCTATCTTATCTATCTTATCTATCTCATCTATCTTCTCTATCTTATCTATCTTATCTATCTTATCTATCTTATCTATCTTATCTTATCTTATCTTGTCTTATCTTATCTTATCCTATCTATCTGTCTATCTATCTATCTATCTATCTATCTATCTATCTATCTATCTATCGACCTATCGACCTATCGACCTATCGACATCTCGACCCATGTTTATTTTTTCCCCAAACAGTTTACTGTTGGGGTTCTTATTCTTCGAAAGCAGAATGGGCCGCATGCTGCCAGATCGCCAGGCTCGCCAGTGCATTTACTTGTCTCCCAGCATGTGCTTTCATTTGTTTCCCAGCGCTGCCAGATCGCCTGGCAAGGTTCAGTCCACATCATTGGCTTCGTCCGCATCTTCAGTAGCTTCGCCGGCCTCCCGCTCGCGCGCGACCGCTTCGCGGGCTCCAACGCGAGGGCTGCCCTGCGCCCCCTGCGCGATGCTCTCGCGACCAGTCTTCTGCGCTCCTTCCACGCGTTCGATCGAGGAGCCATAGCTCAGCAGCAGTAAGCTTGCGGCCGAGCCTCATGAGCCGCTTACGTTTCCTGCGCCGAGGCGAGCAACAACCACAAGCGCGCGAAATGACACCCTGTCCTCTCTTCGTTTATCAGCTCGTGGGTCTTGTCCGTTAGCGCCTTTTGAGTTCGCTTCTCTGAGAGTTCTGTCTTTTCAGGCGTGCCCATCGAGGTGTCGTGCAACTACCACCACCACCGCCGCCGCCGCCGCCGCCGCCGCCGCCGCCGCCCCCACCACCACCACCACCACCCCCCCCCCATCTCAATTAGTTTGCTTCGGGTCCTGACCACCCCCCCCCCCCCCTGCCGAAGCGCTGTGCCTGTGACGCAAAACTGACATCGCAAATGCCAATGGGCGCGGGTCCGCAGCCGTTCCGACCCCGTTCCGAGACCGTCCGACAGTCCGTGCCCGTCGTCCGTCACACGTAGCGACCGAGATCATTCATTCATTTTTCATCTTGCCTGCCCGCCAGACTACCTTCAAAAAGTGTCCGTAAAGCGGACGTTCCTTCTAAACTTCCTTTGACTACTGAAACCACGGTGGTGAACTTGGCCAGTTCAAAACATGGCCCTCTCCACATTTCACGTGGAGACTGCAGGGTACCCTCACACAAAATGCCCATGTCAGCAACTGGCAAGATTATTGGTGGCTTCCCACAATTGGTGGTAGGGGGATATAATGAATATGGACTTTGGCTCACACGCCAAAGTTTGGTCCCATATGTCTTTTTTGGTCAGGACACTGTTGTGGACGCGCTCAGCAACGTGCTGGCCTTCGAGGCCTATGATGCACCGCTGAGAAGGTGGGAGGGACACAGTGGCGGAGGGAAGGGGGTAACCCAACCCAACCAACCCACCCACCCACACATTCACAAACACACCGCCAAAAATTCCTTGTGTCGGGTGAGGGAGCAAGCCAAACAGTCCACGCTGGTTTTGGGTGTCGTAGAATTGTGGAACTGCTCCTTTTTCCACCTTTGTTTCTCTTAACACGGACAAGTGCAGGGTGGCCATTGTGGGCACTTCGAAGCTATTTGGCAGTGCGAACATTTGTAGGACCCGACCCTACTTGTTGTCTACTGCAAGGAGTGCAACATTCAGGACCCCCAACATCTTTGTCCTTTGCTTTTCTTAAACCACCAACTATTCTCAGGGTTGAGTAGGGGTGGTCTTGGACCCTTTAGGAATTCTGGACAAGGGAACCAAGGTTCACGTTTTGCATGGTCATGGTTCCTCTGAAGGCGATGGCGTACGCCTTGGGCATTTGTGGCCACACGCGAGGCAGCTCACGGACGTCTTCGAGGAGCACTTCCGGGGCATCCAGCGGGACTTGGAGGCCACCTTCGGCACGGTCTCAGGCGGGCTATGTGTTGTATGGAGTGAGGCAGCCATGGCAAATGGGAAGGCTTTCACATTGTGTGCATTCTAAAGAGCATAGCCGAACCTGTGATCACCAAACGACAGATCGTCAGGGACAAGATGCATTCACCAGCCCTTCAGCACTTGTCACCTTCTTTGATGCCTCGTTTTGCCGTTGTCGCTTCCTGTGGCTTTGCTGAAGGTGAGTCTGGCAGTCGATCATTGAAGTCCTCCGACGTGGAAATTCGATATTTTCCTCAAGGCGCGCAGCAGCTTCAGTGTCGTGCGAACCATATTGCAATGATTGCAGCATGGCTCCTCCTAAACTTGGCAAGCACCAGAATCCCAAGGGAAATCGGCCCAATTTCACTTGGGCGTGTGCAAACATAGGTTACCCAGGGGGGGAAATAGCCCAATCTCACTGGCAAACGGGGCAGGTCAAGCCACTTCTTGAGCTCAGGTGCAGGCGGCGCGAGCACACCTCGAACCGGGCTGGATGGTCCCAAGCACGGAGAGGCCGGAGTGGCATCTGGGGAAAAGGATTCGTTGCTTTTTGAGGGTATCCCTTGTGGAGGTGTTCAAAAAAGACACTCATGGAACACCCACCAGGTGTTGTTTGCTGGCCATTACACGGATTCTTATCAGAAAAACCATATCCAAGAGGGCGGTATGGTTTGCTCACGTGTCGTTTCTTGCGTTGCTTGCGGTTTTCCGTTTCGAAGCCAGTTTCTTTTGTGCAGGTGGATCCAACGGGTGCTCCCCACGTGGGAGGCAATCGGTGGGCAGGAGGCAGTGGCGGCTCTGACACAGCAGGTCTGGGTGGCCGTGGTGGTCCTTATCGGCTGTGGGATGGCAACCCGGTGCCTGACCGAGATCGGAGTGTCCCAGAAACGGCGGGAACCCCACAATGTTTGTTCCCCTTTGTCTTCTCTTCAAAAGCCTCCCTAAACAGGGTGCCCTTAGAGGAGACCCCTTTGAGGATGCTGGATGTTGGCATTTCGACGGTCTTGGAGGGCAAAGATCACGTCGTCTCTAGGTGCACCAAGTGAGCGAGGAGGCCAAGGCGGAGGTCACCGAGGAAGCGAAGGCACAAGCGAGGGCCATGGCTCTGCAGGCAGGGCGCTAACGCTTTTCGGACGGGCGCGTGACTTGGATCGTTTCCATGGATCGTATCCTGCAACCTGAGCTCGAGCTGAGAGAGTGGCATGCGCGAAGGCGTGGGAGCAACGCTTGGCGGAGATTGAAAAGATGGATGCGACCCTCGGCGAAAGCAGACCTTTGGTGGTTGTGTGGACGTGTCCAAAGACTGGAGGATGCTGATTTTGAGGGAACCCCCTATGGGCTGGACATGCCAGGGTTCAGCTGCAATGGGGTTGATTGAAGGGGAAAGGACTCCGTGGCGTTGCTTCAGCTTTCCTGGCTTGGCGGATGTAGCGCTTTGCCTCGAGGAGCATGTGGAAGATGTACAAGGAGGTCCTGGCCAGCGTGGAGCCTCAAGTGGCGCAGTTCAAGGCCATCCTCCGCCAAGCCCGGGAGAAGAAGATGGAGCGCATTTGGTTGAGGAACCGGTCCGACGGAGAGCTGGATGACACGCGCTTGGTTGAAGGTGTTCCAGGTGAGAGGCTCGTCTTCAAGAAGCGAGGCCAGACAGAGTCCAAGAAGTCTGATGACCTGCAGAGGACCGGCTGCAAACCCGCCCCTGAGGATATCACCCCCCCATACACCGCATCATACTTTGGTCCGTCCTGGTTTATAATGGATGCTCACACCCACACTTGAAAAGTACAGGACCAAGCGGAAAATTTGCTTCGTCATGGACTGCTCCGGCTCCATGTACCGATTCAATAGCCTTGATGGCCGGCTGAACCGCATGTTGGAGGCAACCTGCTTGATCTTTGAGAGCATGGAAGGTCTATCAGATCGATATGCCTCTTGGATTGACATGACTTGCACCTGCGTTGCCCAAATTGTGTGGTGCTTAACACAAGGTTTGTAAAAACAAGCTGCCCCTGGCAATTGGATGGTGTCATGCTGATTCCTTTCAACAGTTTTCGAGTTGGTTCCCTAGCTTTTAGCCACTGAGCCCGATCAACGACATTGGATACATATGATGGACTAAGGAATATGCAGTGCTGGGCCATTCGGGGGAGAGTGCGAAGATTCCCTTCGTGGACTTTGGCAAGCCTCCCGCCAATCGTGCCAACCTGGGATGCATCACTGGTGATATCAAGGGCTTGAAGCGCTGGCTCGAGTGCGTACTTGAATTCGTGCGCTCAGGTGGGGAGAGGCTGAAAATTCTGCAGAAGATGCTTGCTCACACTCAGTTCTGCTGGCCCGGGGACAACACGATTGAGGTGCAACACGGGACAACCCTGGTGTGGTTGGGAGTTCGCTGTGACTTAGACCGGGATGATGCGCCATGCCGACAAACTGACATTTGCAGGCGACGAATTCAGCTATTGACCATGTTGCAGCCCTAGTGCAAGCACTTTCCATGTCGTGGGAATCGGGTTGCAAGCAGAATCTGAGATGCTCAGGTCCTCGATGCCATGCCTCTCAGCACAGCGGAGTCAGAACCCAGCCGTGCCTTCGTGGTGGTGGTGTCGGATGCAAACTTCAGGCGCAAGGAGTGTCGCAAGACATGCCGAGCATGAGAACTTGGCAGGCGTTATCGAATGGACCCCCTGTGGTGGAGCGAAGCGTTGAAGAGAGATCCACGTGTCGACGGCCATGCAGCATCCCGGCATCGATTTCAGCTGTTCAGATTTTGTAAAGGGGAGCTGCGCGTTGATAAAAGCGCCCTTTTACTTGCGACGGCCATGGACCTTTTCAGAGGTAAATAAGATAAACATGATAAAGATTCCTGTTATGAGAAACATGACCATGGCCCACATAGCAGTTTGACCATAACATACGTAACATCATACATCATTTGTCATAGCGACTCATGCAGCATCGTGTTGTCGCAGTATGCTGTGACGCCAGTTGGCTTGAGCAGGGGCTCTGTCAAAGGCTATTGGTTCTTTCTTCCTTCCTTGGGGCATTCCCAACCATATGATTAGGCGGTAAATTGCTTCTGTAAGATTCCACTCTCCAAACCACCACCCTCAGGGGAAGCATAAAACAAATGGGTATACCTCCACTTCAGCGCCACAAGCAAAAGGGCATGTTCCCCTTGAGCGGTGGGTTGGGGATAGTGGAACCAGTCTTAGAGTTTTGGCTGTGAGAAATGTCAACTAGGAGGGCTAAGGCCACCAAAAACGAACGAGCTTGGGTTGGGAGCATCTCCAATTCCGCTGGGGTTGCAAATCGGCCTGAGAGCAGTCCCGAACCTAAATGGATGGGCCGGCATCTCTTTCTTATTGCGGATCAGTTTTGAGGTTTTGACTCAGGTGATGATCGGCTCCATCGGTGAGGAGGCGTCCCGCATCCGAGCGGCGCTTCCTGCAGGGCACGGGCACGTGGTGATGGATACCACGCTGCTGCCCAGTACCTTCAGGTTGCGGGGTCGGGTGTCTAAATGGGACTGTTTGAAGCCAGTGCCAAATTTGTCGGGGTCGGCTTTTTTGGGAGCCCAAAATGGGTTAGGTCTTCCCCACGCAGACAGCACAATTTAGCCGTTTGCTTCAAAATCACAACCAACCGTCAAAAAAGGTGAGGCGTGAAAAGTTATAGTTGGGGAAACGCCAGCATGCAAGCTGAGTGAGTGGCAGTTCAGAGGAAGCCAACATCCCTGCTGCCGGACGGGTGTTTTGAAGCACCTACATGGTTTGTGCGTGTGAGCGAACCAAAGTGCTTTCTTCTTAGAGCCAGATTTGAAAGAAACTCCCTGGCTCCAGGTGCATCTTTGAGCAAGCTGGGATCGTTTGCGACGACGTCTAAGCGCCAAACTCGGAGATCGGAACGCGCTGCTTGCGGGCTCACTGCTTGCTGCCTGCCGCCTTCGGCCCCGTGCGGCCCTGTGGTCCTGGGGCCCCGCGCCTGTGCTCGCGGCGTGCCGGCGCGATGTGGAGGACTTAGAGTCAGGACCGAGGCAGATTAGCCGTCCGCCACGAAGCCGGGCAAAGACTCTCAACGTGTCGTCTCACTGGGTCTTGCCAGAGCTCAGTCTCGTTTTTGCGTGAAAAGGACACGGGGTGGCTTTGAATGTCTGTGGAGATGTCCTGTGTATTGCTGAGAGTCATTGCACGCTCGCAGGTTGCCGGAGACAAAGAGGATCAGATTGGAGATCCCTCAAAGGTCCATGTGAAGGGTAAGCCTGGCACGTTTGAAAGGAGTCGTTGGTTCGGCCTGGCTGCCTTTTTGTGCGCCGCCGCTGCAACCGATGCCAGTTTGCCCATGAGAAAAGAATGAGCACAACTCACAAACCATCGCATCATTGATTCGACGATGCCCGACCGTAGCTTTCGTCGAGCTCTCAAACCTGCAGAGCATGCTGGCTAACTGCACCTGCCATCCGGTCCATTTGGGCGCATTGGGCACTGTGCTGGTGCTGTGGCACATGCTGAAGCCTTTGCCATGTGGAGATGCCTATTGGCGTGAACACGGCTGGCTGGCAACATGTGCTGGCGCAGCTGTCACAAAGCCAGCCACTGCTACACAGGTATAGCTCAGCCATTAAAACATGTGGCAGATATGAACAGTGGGAGCAGGCTTGCTGGTTGTTGGTCGACCTTGATTTGCAAAAATTGGAAGCAGATGTGATTATTTACAATTCACTCATCAGTGCCTGTCAGAAGGGGGCTCAGTGGCAGAGATCATTGCATTTGCTAGAGAATCTTGAAGCAGGGCAATTACGAGCCACTGTCGTCTCCTTCAATTCCGTAATCAGCTCATGCAGTCAGGCTGCAGAGTGGGAAAAAGCAGTCGCACTTCTATTTGAGTGCGGCCGCCAAAGTATCAGAAGAGACATCATCACTTTTAATGCTGCCATTTTGGCGTGTGAGGGCAGAACTGAATGGCGGTTGGCTTTGACGTTGCTTGAGGATATGACCCTATTGACCATGAGATGTACAGCCTTCACATACAGCACAGCCATCAGTTCATGTGGACGTGGCGAACAATGGGAAGTGGCCTTACGGTTACTGTCAGCAGCAGCAGCCGACGTGCAGTTAGATGCAGTCATGTACAGCGCAGCAATTCATGCCTGCCAGAAGAATGGCGCATGGCAACAAGCGATATGTGTACTTACTGATTGTCGCGCTAAGATGATTCGGATGCATACCGCTGCATACAACGCAGCTATCAGCGCCTGCGAAAGGGAGTGGGAGTTCGCGGTTCTCTTGTTTGCGGAGTCACAGGATGACGTGCAGCCCGATGTCATCTCCTACAATGCTGTGATCAATGCCTGCGCTGTTTGCAGTCGCTGGGAGCAGGCACTGAAGTTTTTCGCACTAGCAGGTGGAGATGTGAAACGCAATGTCGGCATCTCAGGTGTGTCCAAACATGGGTCCTCAAAAGCTGGTTGGTTCTTTGTTGGCTTCCCTTCAAGCACTCCTAGTGATAGGACACATGACATCGGGTCTTCGCGTGAGCAGTCGCCATCAAAGCAACATGTTGGCTGAGGTCATCACTTACAATGCGGCTATCTCTGCGCTTGATAAAAGTACACGCTGGCAGCTGGCAACCTTCGTGCTGTCTGAGCTTTCTGGACGAACTCTGGATGCTGATCTGGTCACATTTGACGCAGCCATCAGTGCTTGTGAGAAAGCCAGCGAGTGGCAGAATGCCTTGGTACTGCTCCGGACGCTCAGGAAAGCCAGGCTGCAGGAGGATGCAGTCACCTACAGCGCGCTCATTGGTGCATGCGTGAAGGGAGAACAGTGGCAAATGGCCTTGAGGCTTGTCGCGGAAGCCCAGAGCAAGCTTCAGGGCGATATTTTTGTGTATACGGGTGCCATCAGTGCTTATGAGATATGCAGCCGTTGGCCGAATTGCTTGGCGTTGCTTGAGGAAGTTCCAACATCTTTGCTGCAGCCTGACATCGCAACTAGCAATGCTGCCATGAGCGCTTGCGGCAAAGAGGATCTTTGGCGACTTGCGCTTGTTTTGCTGGCCGGTTCTGAGGTGAACCGTGCGATCGCAGATGAGATTTCTCACAGCATAGTCATTAGTGCTTGTGCGCGCAATCAGCGAAGCCATCCAAGAGAGCATGTGAGGAAATGAGCCCTTTTGGCTGAAAGCATGAGATGGCTTGCCATGAAGTCATTGCCATATTGCATTTGGAGCTTAAACTCGCCAGCTCCTACGAGACCTGACGATGCTGGATCTGATGAAGAGGTGGCTGTTGCGCAATTTTGCCGCCGTCAAGACATGGGAGTCGTTCTAAAGGTCCTTGTAAGGAGTTTAGTATTCGGTGACCATCGGTGTTGGTTGAGGTAGCTCCGCGAAAGATTCGCGATGGAGTTGCGAAAGTAACTTTTTTTCTCGCGAAAGTTTTGCGTAACTGTATCTGGTTAATCAATGATATGTGGAACCGTTCAGCTTTTCTGCTGAGCCTTCCTTCTATTCTGATTAAAACACTTTGTTGATGTTGCGCTGATTAAGCCTGGTGAGGCTACAGTTTGATACCCTGCTTGGCTGGTTAGTGCTCCAAGCCTGTGTATGTGTGTCTGTGGGTGTTAGTCGGTGGCTTTCCGCTCTGAAACATGGGTGATTTTTCGCGAAAGTTCCGCGAAAGATCCGCGAAAGCCCGCGCGAAAGCGCAGGCTTCGATTGCAAGGGGAGGTATAGTCTGAGCGCCGATCTAGTCAGTATACTAGCTTGGTACTGGAAAGCTGCGACTTCAAGCTGGAGCTGCACGGCGAACGAAAAGCTGCGACTTTCCAGCCGGCGCATGTCATGTACTACCCCTGTGATGAAAAGTTGCGACTTTACAGTCATTTCGTTTACAACGCTGGCACTTAAAAGCTGCGATTCTCTGACTCGAGAAATGAAAAGAGCACGGCGATGAATCCGCGAAAGATTCGCGAAAGTAACTCTTTTATTCGCGAAGAATGGCCGTTTCGAGACAAAGGAATTTAGATCAACCACCACATGTATATATATATATATACCTATATCTATATACATGTATGCGATTCAATTTTGCTGTTACCTAGTCGTGCATGCACCTTGTCACCAAACAGCATTGACGGGGGTTGCAGACATTAGCTCAACCTGGAATGTCACGCACTCATGACAGCACCTCATTTGATGTGAGGCAACCTGCCTTTCCAGGGGTATCCACCTGATGTGACTCAATTGCCCGGAGGGTTGTTCAGTCAGGATCCCGAGCTGTATGAGCAGCTGTCCAAGCAGCGGCGCTTGGTGAAGCGTGCAGACACAGGTGGGCTGTGAGTTGTTAGGTCATCATGGTTGTGTCCAAGCTAGAGACTGGGGTGCTATTCAAAGAAACTAACATCAAGAAATTGGGCTTTCGGGCCAGTTTCTGCAATCCCCTACAAAGTGAGCAGACACCTTTGGCACATGCCATGCCTGTGCCCCTGGACACAGCTTTGCCAGGCCAAGCCAAGAAGGGCGAGGCGGCCCTGTCGCAGGCGGGGTCAGAGGCTCTTGGATCTTTTCCGTACATAGGCCCACACAGAGACGAGGAGTTTTGATGGAGAGCCCCCTCAAACATCGTGTGCGCCAAAAGGACAGGGCTAAGACCTTGGAAAGAACAACGCTAGGATTTAAAATATGGGAACCCGCCAAATCCCTTCAAAGCCAACCACAGAAGGTTTCCCCAAAAAGCGCACCGAAAAAACGGGACCCCTACAAAATATTAGTTCCGTTGGTTTTCCGTCAAACCCATCCAAACATGGGGCCCGAGCAATTTGGAGACAAATCCACATGAGGTCTCCGAGCGTATCCAGTCCACGACAAACGAAGAGGCCTGGCATGTGTTGCTTGTTATGGGATCGTTTGATATTTATTGGGCTTCGCACATTTTTTTGTGTGCGAAGACCAGTTTTCTTGTGGCATGTCAATACGTCCCAGCTGTTGATCAATCACTTGCCACATTCCCAGCTCTTAGGAGGATGAAACGGTGAGGGAGCAGAAGGAGAAAGGCGCACCAAGATGAGCCTAAAGGAATGTCATACCCAGCTGCCCGGTCCGTGTTTCGGCCCTGTCAGACAAACCAGGCGGTCCCCTTACTTTATGCTTTGGATCCACTTTCGAAGGTGAGTACCGTGTTGAACCTCTGTAAATACAAGGATCTCCGACGCCTCCCGAACCACTGCCCCAAACCTATTGTCTGAGACCCTGCCATCGCTGGGGAATGAATCGCCCCCATTGGGCATTGACCTTTGGCTGACGATGTGCTGAGTGCTTGGCTCAAGCTCCTCAGAACTGCTCGGCTTCAAGAAAGAGACAGACCAAAACGTAGCGCTGACTGCGACAACAGAGCATTGGCCTCAGCTGGCAGAAAGCATACACTGGGACCCTGCGTAAGTGATCCATGGCCACTGTCACTGCCGAGGTTCTGCAACGTGGTGCAGACGCCGATCGAGAAGATTGAGACTCTCAAGCACGAAAGCTTCCGAGGATCAACCCTGTACAAGCAGCAGGCAGGAGTGCAGGTTTGGATCCCATTTCAGTCTGTGCGTCCTCTTTTGAGGGCGCCGTTTTTGGGCGGTCTTCGAGGGAGACCAAAGGGAAACCCAGTCTTGGTGTTCAGAGGCAAGCCCATGCTTGTTGACTCTCTTGCCGATCAAACTCCAGGCGACGCAGCGCAAGGGTATCGCGGCAGGCGAGCGCAAGGCCCGCAAAGCGGGCCTGGAGGAAGCCGGGGCCCCGGGCTTCGCGAGATGTCGCCCTTCTGAGTCCGCGAATCCTTTGAGTTAGGGGTTCCTTAGGGTTCCCAAGGCTAAGGAGAAAGATCATGTGTCGCCGGGCACGTTGCCGCGCGAGCTCGCGAAAGGTGTCGGCAGTGAAGGACATAGAAGAAGAGCTGGCGGGCCGGGCATGATTACAAAGTGCATGAAGCTGCCGCACGCGTCGCGAAGTGATGTGCACAGTGACAGGAGCAGACTCTGATCGAGGAGTCCCTTGACCTTAGCTGCTGGAAACCTAGACGAATCTGCCTGTAGCGAGGGCATGTGCGGTGCTGTTGCGTCTTCCCACAATCAAAACTGGGTAGACGAAGGTGAAGCGTGGGTAGTCCCAGCCGTAAAGAGGTGCGGATTATGTTTTATCCTTTTCAGTGAACATATTTTGGGCAGACCACCGTTTCTACAAGGTTTTTTGTTTTTGTTTTTCCTGACTCAACTGATGAGGTGCAAGTGGACTCGAATACCTGCGAGCAAGATCACAGATCGGTTGCGATCAGGACATCTTGGTTCTTGCTTGACTGGTTACAGCGCGGTTCTTGGCTGACACATCCTGAACGACCGGGCGTGAAGGGGTGTGTGATGGCAAATTTCATGTGAGTGACCCTCTCTTGAGCGGGCTCCAGTTGATTGTAATGTGAATGTGATGCATGCTGGACGCCTTGTGGAACCGTTGAAGCATGGGCAAGAAGCCTTTCCTGTGTTTGCCGAGGGCCGCCGACGTGGGACACCCACAAATGGTCCTCAAATAGACCCCGTTTCACGCCTTGTTTGGTGCTGCTAAATTTGGCCCTACCACCTATTGCGTCCTACTAGGCACCATTAGTCCCAGAAGGCCGATTGGGCGCTATTTGGCCTTTTTTCCCTTTGTCCGCAATTCACCTGGATATTGTATCCACCAACCACTTGAGGGTTGACCCATTTTGAATCATCTCTGGTTCAGGACTCGCACAGAATCCGCAAGCTCGACAACCGGCCGTTGGAGATGTCCACCGTGGACGGTGATATCAAGCTGGAGTACCGAGACGACTTCGGACGGGCGCTGCCCGGCCTGTTTGCACAAAGGTCAATGTGCTTTGGGTTCGTCCGAAAATAGGGGGCTGGTTTTCCTTTGAACCGACGTTAAGAAGGGTACCCACAAAGCCGTTTGTAGGATAAACACTTTTGCAAGATCATCTCGGCGGTTCAGACTACTTGGACCTGCCTGCTCGGGAAGTGAGAACTGAGGGAGCAGCCGTTGAAAGGTTGGTTTGCATCAGATTCCTGGAAGAGCCAGCCAAAATGGGTTTCCAATTTTGGTTGCAGCTTCCATGTCCAGTAGAGCGTGCAAGAAAAGGACAAGCATCTACGTGTTTGGCAGGTGCAGACGCCGAAGGAGGCATTCCGCTCCATCTCCTGGAAGTTCCACGGTAAGGCAGGAGCCGAGATGCCCGGGGCTCCATTTGTTCACTGCAATAAGCCAACCTTGAGAGAAACACATTTGAGCATGCCTACTTAATGGTGACTGACATTTTTTCGACTGGTCAAACACATTTTCTGATCATGAAGGCCCTCGCTCCAACCAGCGCACCTTTCACATCGCCCATGAATACCCTCGCTCCACCCTTTACGCTCTTGCATTGGTAGTCATGTTAAGCAAAGAAGGCCTGTAGTGGTCAAGCATGCCCAACTTGGCTTTCAAGCGGCACTCAGATGAACGGCTGAGGATGGAATTTTGGCATGGAGCGGAAGAGCATTCAAGGGATATATTTGTACAAGAAACATTTTGTGTCGCACTCAGCAGCAGCAAGATTCATCCTAGAGTGCGAGCCACCGCCGCTCGCTTTGATCCGTCCGTTGAGTGAGAAGAGACGGCGCAAAGACAATTATTGAAATCAAAGCAGAGGCACTCGTTTGGCATCACATCCAGCCATGGTTTAATCATATTGACGGCCGGCTCCATGAAGCCAAATCGCGCGGGCCTGCGTTAAAAAATGCATTTCAATGTCCAATCAAGCAGGTCCCCTTGGCATGTCGCTGCTTGCGGCAGGTTCCTGGCCGAAAGAACATGGAGAGACGGCTTTTGCGCCTTGAAAACGAGAATCGATTGCTGCTCGACTGCAAGCTGGGGCTCCAGGTAGCCGCATGACCTGCTGTAGCCTGGCACAAGCATTTTGATTCTGCCTTGGCATTCCTTTTCCTCTCGCGTGGGAAGTGCCTCGGCACACGCACCAGCCGGCAGCCCAGGAAGAGCATGAACGAGCTTGAAGACGCACTTCCCACCCTCAGGCACAACGTTTGCTGATGAAACTCGAACCACGTTCTTTGCTCGCGGCTGTGACAATGGTTGGGATTCGTGTGATCGAGCCCAAATGGGTGAAGAGCGAACAAGAGCACGGTCTTTTGATTCGTCTGAATTCGCGTGCCAGGGCATTGAAGCATGTGCAAGTGGCCGATGCCAAGCCGTGCCCAGGGGGTGGGGGTTGTTGTGGGGCTTAGCGGATTTTGGTCATGTTCTTTCGATGCGTTTAGCACCATTGGATTTTGGGATCACCCAAAGTTGATCAGCCAGGTTGACTCGGAGAGACTTGACTGCGGAAAGACCAGTGCTTTGTGGACGATTCAGGT